AATTTGATTATTAAATTTCTTTTACTTCTTGAAAAATATAATTGTATCCTAAACTTTTTTTTTCTGGTTAAAAAATTTGGTCTAGCTCTTGACTTCTCATGAACCACCAATCTAATATATTTCATATGTATATTCATTTTATAAATCACAACTTTGTGCAAAGAATTGTATAAACGTTTTCTATTCCTTTTTGGCTGAATAAAAATTTATCTTATAGAATAGTCTTGGATGATTGTCTAATGGTGCACCAAACAACTTTTTTAAAAAGATTATACTTATTAAGAAGGTTATGTTTTTCACAAACCCACTTATTCAATAAGTTAATGGTATTAAAGCTAGTAAGATCTAAAACATCTCATATTTTGTTTAAATTCTTACAAAATACAAACATAAAAGGAAACAATATGAATATAAACTATAAATATTAATGATAAATTCAATTTTAAAAAAATCATACCAATATTAATGAAAATAGTAACAATTACTTTTTTATATTAATATTAATGTGATAATATTAATATTATACCTTTGTTAAATCCTTGAATTATAACAAATAAAACCAAATTACTCAGTCTCTTTTGATCTAGTTTATTTAGCCTTTTAGAATTAATGAACTCAAATATACCCCAATTTTTCCCACAACAAATTACTCCAATCATGCAACTAGTAACAATAAAAGATCAATAAATTAGATATTATAGATACAACAACAATATTTATATTTAAAAAAATACAAGCAACAAAAGTTTTTACCCGATTTTAACTTCTTTCTTTGGCAAATGGGTAATGATATATCAAAATCACATTTTAATTAAAAAACCTCCTATAATTATGATTTAAGTACTGTTATGTTATAAATTATCAAAGATAAGGATAAAGTCGAGATAATTTACTCTCCATCCCTAACACTTTAATTGAGAGATGTTAAACACTTTGGAGTCCAATAACATGCTAAAGCTATTTTTAGTGAGCGAAAATGGTCCAATGATCAACAAAGCCTCATGAATGAAACCTAACAAAAGTTTTAGCAAAGCATATGCAAGTTTGTCTATAAACCTTATTAAGGTTTTTTTAATGGTTTGTAAATTCTAGGAATCAATAAAACTGAGAAAACAGAAGGCAAATTAATCAAAAAAACTAAATTAAAAAAATGAATTAACTGATTAGATAGTTTGGTTTAATTTTGCTTTTAAAAATCTGAAATAAAATGAACCATAGCACTAATATGAAACTATTTAGCTAGAAATTAAAAAAAAATAAAAAAATTAATTAAATTGAGAAAATTAAAAATTAATAGATTAAAAAAATAAAAACAAATTGTAGTGTGGTTTAATTCTGCTTTCAAAAATTGAATTGTGCTAATCTATTAGCGATTGAAAAAAAAATGTAAATATAAAATTTTCTAAAAATCCTAAATTAGTACTCACAATTCACAAAGCTAAAACTAGCTGCCCCTCATCCTGCTCTCTCTGTCTCGCTAAGGCGAGGGCACGTAATCACATGATTTTCAGATGTAAAATCTATTTAGCTAAAACTAGCCGCCCCTCATCCTGCTCTCCCTCACATGATTTTCAGATGTAAAATCTATTTCGGTTATATATAAAATTATTGTTGTAGCTGGTTTTTAAATAATTTTTTATTTAAAAATATATTAAGATAATATTTTATTAATTTTTAAAAATTAAGTATTAAAATAGTTTAAAAATATTAATTTAAAATAAAAAATATTTTTTAAAATTTTATTGAAGTATTAAAATATTTAAAAAATATTTAAAAAATATTAATTTAAAATAAAAAATATTTTTTAAAATTTTATTAAAAAAATTTAAAATACAAAAATAAAATAATATAGCCGCAGCCCTGGCGGCTTTATGCTTTCACTTCAGTATCACGTGGAGCTTACGTCTTCTTCACGTTTTATCTCCATCATCCAATGATCAAACCATTATGATCCTTCCACGTGTGAACACTGTTCACAAGGTGAAGCCCATCTTCCATGGCTGATCAACCTCTTTCATCAACGTCGCCGTTTTGCTTCATTAATTATACGATGGTCCCTCAACTTTCTTCCATTAGTCGTTTTGACCCTTTCTTCCATTTTACGTTTTGTCTAGGTTAATGACTATAGAATGACGACATTGTCCGATGGATTGTATTTCTCTTGTAATAATTGTCCTGTAACATGTCGGCTCTGCTTTAGTTTAATATCTTTATGGCAAAACACGGCCCCACTATGTAGCTTTTCTATTAATTAATTGTTTTTGCAATTTAAAAAATATTTTTTAAAAAATTAATTTTTTTTACTTTAAATTAATATTTTGTATCTTTATATTGTTTAAATATACTAATATCAAAAATAATTTTTAAAATTAAAAAATATTATTTTAATATATTTTTAAAAAAATATATTTTAAATTATATTTTCTAACACCATTTAATTAATATAGCATGGAATTCATGGTTTATTGCTTATTGGTATAAAGTTATATCTTCACTAGTTCAAAGTGTTTCGTTTAATATATACTTTTTAGTATTTTTTTTTAATTTTGATTTATATCAGAGATTACATTACATGTTTTTTATTTATATTTTATTTTTTTAAGGTGATTGAGTTTTTAAAATGATAAAATATCGAGATTTCATTATTTTAGTATATTTTTTTTATTATGATAACTTTTATAATTGTAATCTAAAAAAATAAAAAAAATATTTTTACATATAATTATTTTAATTAAAATACATTTTTAATGTATTTTAATTAAAATTACAGGTAAAATTACCATTAAAAAAAATTAGCTCTCATCAAGCTTTTAACTTATGCAAAATCTACCCAGCATTGATTTTTTTGATTAATTCAAAGAAAAGTAAGTTAGGTTATTTTGGTTTGATGGGTAGCAATTTTAACAACAATAAAATGTAAATCATGAAAAGCATAACAAAAACATGTAAAAGTATCTTCTCAAAATCTGAATTCAAAACTCATTTATTGACGGGGCAAGAATAAAAATTAAATTTTATTTTATAACAAAAAATGATAAAATTATGATTAAATAAAAAAGCAAACACCATCGCATGACAAACGTGCTCGATATGTAAGAACTCATCATTGCTCGCTATGCTTAAGCTAGTGGCATAAGAAAAGAACCGAAAAGACTGTACTTCAAATCTCCCACTCTACTTCATTTTGAGCTAGTGGATGTGTGGCGCTGCGTTGTTCATTGATGCTCCATGAGCTATCAAGGGCAGCTTACATTGCTAAATAACTCCATAATATTTTTAGTGTCAAACCGATAAATGCAATATTTTAAGTTCTCTTATAAATATAAATTAATCTTTATAAATTATGTATGGAAAAATTTCAAATACTCAAAACATCTTTTACAATAAGAATAATTTTGTGCTAGATAATTAGCTCACACTTCACTATAGGACTAGGTTAAATGTTTTTAAAATATATAAAATTAACATGTAGACATTGTTAATGTAAAAATATATTTTTAATACTATGACAATAAAAAATAAAAAATTTGATAACCAAAACAGAAAAAAGAAAAAAAAAAGAAAAAGAAGGAGGATAAAAAATGGCATTGTTCCTATCTATAATGTTATCATTATCTAAAGGACATTGTTAAATAAAAGAAGATAATCATATATATCCAAAAGATAAAGTTGTAGAAATTTTTCAGTTTTTTTCTCATTTCTTTTTATTATTTCCTCGCTGATCATTTCTTTCCCACAAATGCCCAATTCAAATATAATCAAACAAGAGAACATATATAACATAAAAATTATACAGAAAATTAAGAAAAATAGCAAAATCCTATAAAAATCATGATGAATAAATAAGAAGTAATTAAAGAGATGAAATCAAAATTAAACTGTTAAAATCAAATCTAATTTCACTGCGTCATAATATACTAGCTATTGTTGTTGATGGTAGTGAAAAAATCGGGTGGTAAAGTGCTTTGTTAGAGATAAATAGTGGACAAATAACATAGAGAATAAGAATAAAATTACATGAAATCTTGAAACTAGTCTAATTAATTAGATTTTTAATTTGCTTTATAATAATTATAAGTTCACGATCACTAAAAATATATATAATTATTAATTTTAAAACTTGTAAAATTAATTAAAATATATATAATCTAACTCGAAGACTGATATTAATTAAAAAAGAAGAAGAATATCGCATGAAAGGAAATAGAGTGAGAATATTACATGCATGGTATAATTGTAATTAAATAAAAAGTAAGAGGTTATTTTATCTCAAAAATCATTAGGATAGAAATAGTCGGAGAAACATGTTTTTCACTTTTCTTCCAATTAGTAGAAATATTTGGAAAACATTTTTCCCAACCTCAAGCTTAGAGGTAGAAAAATGAAAAAAATCCTTTCCTTTCTCCAATTTGTAAAAAATGGAATCTAAACACAGTTTTTTTCTCATGTTAATTTTTCTATTTCTCCTAAATGGTGTAATACTCCATTATACGCATTTTTTTAGTTCTTCCTTTAATTTTCATAATTTAATTATAGCGCCACTTTTTTTTTTTTTCCCCTTTCTCCTGGTCACCTAGCCTTCCACGATGGTTAGGCTAATGTGTGATGGCCTGACCGGGAATCGGGAAAAAGAACATTCGAGCGTAATGCTCAGGGCCCGCCTAACCTCAAATTAAACCTTAACTTCTGGTGCACGATAGCATCTACCTTACAAGGACATCGAATAGCTAGAAGAAAAAACACAATTGTTTTTATTTTTTATTAGAAAGATAAAATAACATTTGTAAGTTGAAGAATTATTTTTACATATTAATTAAAAAAAAGTTAAAAAATTGTTTAATATATTTTTTATGTAAAATAAGATTTTAATTGATGTTATATTAGTTAGTTAATATTAATAAATAGTTATATTAATATCAAATATATTAAAATATAATTAACTTTTCTAAATGATATATATATATACTATTTAAAAAATTATATTACCAATTTCACTCTCCTTGCTAACTTCCCGAATAAAAAAATATTCCCTTCCCTCCTCCTCTAAAACCCTTCAAAAACCCCTGTTCTTCTTTTTTTTTTTTAAAAACAGCTAATCATTTTCTTGCATCCGAACAAGCATGAATACAGTAAAAGCAAACATAAAGAACCCAAAGGTGTGGGTATTGGTGATCGGAGTGACAGTGGCTGGTGGGGTGGGGGGGGGGGGGGCTGAGACGCGGAGACGGAAAGCCAAATTTAAAGAGGACTTTGGAGCCTTCGTTCAAAGATTCCTGATTCTTCCATCCCCTCAGCCTCCTCCTCCGGCTGCAAAGCAAACCCTCGCTGGGCTCACTTTTGCCATCAACGACATGTAGTCTGTCTGGCTGTCTTCTTTAATTTATTATTAACTAATTTTTTAGTTAGTTCTGCCTTTTTAAAAAAATAATTAAATGATTTGTGGCAGATTTGAGTTGGAGGATTATGTGACGGGTTTTGGGAATCCAGACTGGGCAAGAACGCATGAGGCTTCTGAGAAGACAGCAGTGACAGTGACTGCTCTGTTAAAGAATGGGGCTGTCTGTGTCGGCAAGACTATTATGGGCGAATTAGGATTCGGGTAATGAAATCTCAGTGTTTTGTTTTGTTTCCTTTCACGTACACAGAAATACGTATTTATGATTTGTTGAGTTAACGTCTTCCTTGTTACATTAGGGTGAGTGGCGAAAATATGCATTATGGTACTCCTATCAATCCGGAAATGCCCACCCATGTCCCCGGAGGTTCTTCTAGTGGTTCAGCTGTGGCCGTTGCCGCTGGGCTCGTTGATTTTGCTCTAGGTAATAAAAGTTCCTTTGTTTAGATGGCATATGCTCAATCAATACTATCCAATGTAGATTGACGGTCGTATATCAGTTGGGAGTCATGACTAATTGTTCTCCGAGAGAGCTTGTGTTCAAATGACTTGCTTTTCAGTCTTTTCTTTGCACCTACTTGCTTCTGGAAATAGTTTGAACATTTCAGCTGTGGTATCAAAATCGTTATTTGGAAATCTCATTGGCAGCTTCAAGTACTAGTTATATGTGTTTTTTTTTTTTTTTTCCTGGCAGAATGGAGGGAATATTAGAAAAAAGGCATATTGATCTTAATGAGATTAATCATGCATTCGTTTTACCTTCCATAACATATTTGAGTTGGGCTATCTGATATTTTCCTTTTCTCTTGGCTTGTAGAAAAGCTTTTATAGCCTGCATGTTAATTCATGTAGATATAGAATTCAACACCATTTTGCTTGTTAATTGTGTGCTTGATTATCTAAGGCCCTTCTTATCTTTCAGGTACTGATACAATTGGGTGCATTAGAATTCCAGCAGCATTTTGCGGTCTCCTCAGTTACAGACCATCCCATGGGGCTGTGTCTACTATTGGAGTTTTGCCAAATTCTCAAAGTTTAGACACTGTTGGTATGGGCATATTTATGTAGTGCTATTGCAGAATACATAGATATAAATGAGCAAAACCACATCCTGACTATTTTTAATTTGTTTATCTTTGATGGTTTTGTTTATGCTTGAGCAAACATTGGGAGCACTTAGGTGCATATTTCTCTTGCTGTTTTAGATCACAGCCTCAATGCGTACTTTCCTTTTTAGTAGTCTGAAGTACTGTTCTTGAACATCTGAATCGTTATTTTTTTACAAGTTCGTTCACATTAAGAGAAGTGGATGAGAGTTATCTTTAATTATACATGATGCTGCATCAGTGCGAATGCATGTGCTCCCAATCAGCTCTGTTTGTAGGAAATGTGACCATTTTGAATTACCATTGCATTTTGAGTTGGTACCAGCATGCTAATTTACTATTTATTCAAGATTTTTCTGGACTTAATTATTTTCTCCTTGTTTCAGTTATGTTGTTGCCTTTACTGGTTTTCTATTTCTTTACTTGGTAACATGGGGTATTTCAGGATGGCTGGCACGTGATCCCTCTATATTACTTCGTGTTGGGCATGCTGTACTTAAACTAAATACTGTGGAACCCAGAAGGGCGAGACGTCTTATTTTTGCTGACGATCTTTTTCAGCTTTCTAAGGTTCCCAAACAGAAGGCTGAAGGTGTTATTAGCAAAGCAATTGAAAATCTATCTGGATGTAAGTTGCAAGGCTATGATGTATTTCTTGTTATGTTCCTGTTTCATATTTTATTTTCTTATCGTCCCATTATCAACATTATAGTTCATCATCATATAACTCTGTTTGACTTACTTTAATTGTGCTCATGTTGGTGTTTCTAATTGTTTTGTTCAATGCACAGACCAGCCCGAACAGCATATTAATTTTGACCAACATATTTCTTTGAATGTACCGAGTCTAAAAGGGTTCCGTGACCAATCAACAAAACTGCAAAATGGAATCTCTAATTTGAAAGCTCTCTCTTCTGCAATGGTTTCATTACAAAGGTACTTGAGATTTTTTTGCTTTGCTTTTATTGTTCTTTCTATTAGGGTATGTGTGCGCTGAATAAGTTAGGAATTTTTAGAACTGATAATTTGAGTTTCAGATGGTATCGAATAAAAAAATTGTATTTATTAATAGCAGATATGAATTTATGATTATGTTCTCATTTAAGGTTCTATTGTCATGTCTCCTTTAGCATGTGGAGCATTGTTTGAAATCCAGCCAACACACTGATCTAATGTCTGCCTGTGATGGCAAGGTCCAATAGTGTTGGGGATGCAAGTTGGTGAATTTTAGGTGACTTTTAGAAATCTCCAACCACGATGGCATTTATTTGCCCCAAGATATTGTGGATATATAAAAGTAATTTTTAGTGATAAAGCAGTAAATTCTAGAATAATATCTCTGCTGATATTAGGAATAGAATGAGTTTGCTTAAATGACTTTTGCTTTCTTCCAAAAAATGGGTTTCACATTTTACTGAGCCGGCAAATATAAATCCATGATTGTTATGGCTTGTGAATTGGCAATAATAAATTACCTTCTGGCTTATGATTTACTGGTCCGGTATTCCATCCATGTAATTGTTCATGCTATTGGTTGTAGAAATGCATTTCCTTTTTGTTTTCTTTTTGTGCAGTAGCAGATCACACATGTCATTGGTTGTAGAAAAGCATTTCCTTTCCTTTCTTATCTTTTTGGTCAAGTGGTAAAGAAGCATATGGATGATAACTATGATTACGAACCATGCTCTGTAATAACATTCAATTCTCATTATCAAGAAGCTAATCAAGATGTATGGCTCACGGGATAGCATGATCAATTTGATAAAATGCATTGTTTGAGGTTTGTTTTTGAAATTCTTTCCTGTTTCGGTAAACTTTGCTTGATTTTTTGATCTGCAAATGTTGTTATGGAAAAAAGAGAACTCAGCAAAAGGCAGTCAAGATTTGTGTCAGACATGTCTTAAAGCAAAATTTTCAGCACTTAGGTTGCTTACGTCTTTATTCTGCTAAATCTAATGAAATGTGGAAACCCAACACTGTTTATTGTTTTTGAAAAAACCATGTTAGATATCCTATGTTGCTTCATATGCCCCAAAGCAATTTCCCCCTCTAAAAATCCTTCAAGGGGCTTATGATTTTTGCTTAATGTAAATTACCAAAAAAAAAAAAATGTGTAGAGACTCTAATTGATATCCCATTTGTCATCTCTAACAAATGCATCCATCCTTTTCTTGGCCCAGCGAACCAAGGAAGCATGATTGAAACCTTTTTGGTTTTCTAGATCTGAGGGTCATGTAGCACCTAAGATATCATTCACATTATATGGAGATCGTCTAAGTTCCCCGTAGCTTGGAGAAGCTTAAGCCTTTCAGTCTAATAAGACAGATGTTGACCATTCATGTTATTGACAATGAGATGGATGATATTGCTGCTTACCTTCCTGTTGCTTTCATATATAAGCTTGTGATTTTTAATCATGCTACTGATCCTGGTTAAGGTTTCATAACTAAGCTTTTGATTTTCAGAATCGAGACCTCTTAAATGACATGTTATCCAAATGGTTTGGAGCTACCATTGTCAGTAGGGCATTTAAACATTTGAAAAGTTTGAAATATAGCATTTATTGAAGTATGAACGTTCTAAACAAAGCTAAGTTCCCAAAAATTATAGTGATTGTTTTTAGATTAGAGCTCCCAAATGTTACCAGAGGCAAGCTTCATAGTGTTCTTGCTATTTTCTCTTTGAAATATCTCCTTACCCACTTATTTCTAAGAGTTATTCAAGGTTTATATTTACCAGTTGGCAACACTTCATTTTCCAAAACAACCAATAAATGTTTCTTATAGAGTATGCTAAACACTAAGTAAAAACAAGAAGTTAAAAACCTCTAGAAAACACATGAGCCTGTGGATTGATGGGACCCACAATTGGGTCTCACATCAAGATCATGATCCAATGACTCATAATCTTCTTGAAGTTTTTTCTTAATGTTTAGCATTTTTGTTTCTAATATTCTCCTAAATGTTGTGTGCTTAAGCTTTATTTTTCTTGTTCTGTTCAAGTGACATTTGACAAAATCCTCCCTGGATTGCTGTTTTTGAATTTTGAAGGTTCCGTGCTTCTATTGCACTTGACCTGGAATTCCATTTCTGTTTTTACTGACATTTCTGTGCATAATATTGCCTTTCAGACATGAATTTAAAACAAATCATGAAGATTGGGTTAAATCAGTGGAACCCAAGTTAGCATCTGATGTCTCTGATAATGTTCTCACAGCCATTAACACTACACATGAGAACATAAAAGCACTTTATGATATCAGGAAAGAGTTGCGAGCATGCATGCAAATTCTCTTAAAGGTACCCTACCTTGTTGCTATATTTTTTCTCTCAGAATATCAGCCAGATGGTTTTTAGTGCTAGCTGTCACACTTTTGCTTTCTGATACGTTGAAGTGTCTGGGTAACCTTCAGGTTCCTGATTTAGGACAACTTAGGTTTCTTGCTTACAAAAGATTGGCAAGCTAGGGTTTGTTGTATGTGGAATTAGGATTGAATAGGAGTTGTTTTAGAAGAAAAAACAGGGTTAGACACCTGTAATCAATGTCGATTTCTCTTTTATTTTCCAAAGAATTGGACTTAAACCAAATTCATCAACTTTTACCACCTGCCTGACTACCAACCTGTTGTGTTTTATATGCCTGTGCTGCTTGCTAACTTAACCTTATCTTTTTGTGTGTTTTGGTTGACATGTTGGTTTATACAAAAAATTTTCAGTGACAAACTCAAATTGGTTGGAAAAATGATCCAAAGCCAACCTGACCTTGTCATTGAGTTTAGGTGCCAGGTTGATGGAATGTTTCATAGTCTCATATCCTTTTTTGTTGCCAGGATAATGGAATATTGGTTATTCCAACAGTTGCTGATCCACCGTCAAAACTTAATTCAAAGAAACAGGATACTGTTGAGTCTCACAATAGAGCACTGATACTTTCAAGCATTGCAAGCATGTCTGGATGTTGTCAGGTGACTTGGTGATTTACAGTTTCAGCTTTCATCTGCTTGTTGTTTTAGTTTCTATGACCTTATTTAACTTTGTTACGGACTTAACGTTTGTCTTTACTTTTGCATCTTGCTGTCAGGTTACTATTCCATTGGGAAAGAATGATGGCTGTCCTATCTCTGTTTCATTTATCACATTTCATGGAGGGGACAAGTTTCTTCTTGATACAGTATTGGATATGTACTCATCTCTTAAAGAGCAAATCAACTTTGTTTCCAATCCAGTACCATTGCAAGACACCAATGAAAATTTTGATGCTTCAGAACTCTTGAAAGAAAAGGTAGGTCCACAAACAGTTTATTGTGATTTTGAATATTAGTTCATCTTATAAAATTATCCTTGCATAAAGTTCCTCTTTCCCCCATTCATTCCCTGTGCCTTTTCTGGAGAGTTAATTTACTTGATATTGTGTGCTTACTCCTGATATTTAACTAATTGGTTTGTAACTTAACGGAAACTATACACTACATGCATATAATTGTGGTTTGAAACCTTTACATGGTCCATAAATAAAACTTATATTGAAAATGTGGCATTTGTTGCAACTGATCTAAGATAAAGATTCCAGTTTGTTGCTTTACCTTGATTAGTTAACCCACCCTTGTATAGTTATTAGTTAAGTGTGCTAGAGCAAGATAATAGCTGGAGAGTGCTTTCGGTGCCACATGAGCTGTCCGTTTTTATAGAATTACTTGCAATTGAAACAGTATTGGTATGATAATTAAGCCTGCTAGAGCAAAAATATAGCTGGAGAGTGTTTTCGGTGCCACATGAACAATAAGTTTTTATAGAATTATTTGCAATTGAAACAGAATTGGTATGATAACGGGCCATTAGCTTCTTCAGCTCTCTTTCTGTTTTTGCCACACCACTGTATTAATTTGTAAAACTGGTCTTCATTGGCGAGCAACAATCTGTAAAATTGAGGCTTTGCATTGACATTTTATGAGTGACCTTACTTTGATACTACTTGACAATATATGAGTGACCTTACTTTGATACTACTTGATGTAGCACAGCCTACAGGTTATAAACAAGCAGAGAGGATTCTCCATAGGAGAGAAGTTGAATTAGAAGAGAAGAAATCCATATAGAAAAGGGATGGAGGAATAGAAGATGCTGAAAGTAACCCTGTAGGAGAGTGCTGAGAGAAGACAGTAACAGTAGTTTCAACAGTGGTTCTCAATTTCAACATCAAAGTCTGGTAAAACATAAAAGAGGTGCAGTCAATTAGGCACCAAAACCCTAGTAGAAACCTTTGTAAACAAGGAAAAGTGAATAACACTCAGTCCTTACAAAGCAAACTGGACTAAAACTATGAAATAAAATAAAATAAAATGGTAAAATGTGGATTGTTACATGTAATGACATACCTCATGGGTGTTTAAGACAACAATTATAGGTTTTGTAATTTATTGACTATGAATTCACTCTCTTTTTCTAAGATCTTTGTCTTTCTGGCTTCAGAACTTCATTGGGAATATCGGTGATCAACTTGAGCTTTTGATGTTTGATTCCACATGGAAGTCTTTCACCATAGTTTTCATGAAAATTTTTACTCTTTTCCTCACAGTTTATTCATTTTACCTGTCTCCTTGGACGTATATGGTATACTTGACCTGTCATAATTTACAAGGGAGTTACATAAACAATCTTGTCATTGGTGTGTTTGTATATATGCTTGTGAGAAGGGTCCTCTGTGAATCTACAGTTCATTGTGATCCTGTTTGCCAACATTTACTGTAAAATGCTAAAGAATACCCAAGAAAAGATGTTTTGATATGTTTTTTTGCTTCTTAACCAATGACATAAAAAATTATGGCAGGGCAATGCTGCATATAAGGGGAAGCAGTGGAATAAGGCTGTTAATTACTACAGTGAAGCTATTAAATTGAATGGGAAAAAGGCAACTTACTATTCCAACCGGGCAGCAGCTTACTTACAAGTGGGATGGTATGATAGTGTGCTTGATCTATGTTTCACTCTTATTTTGTTATACTGAGAGCTTGCTTTACCTTTTGATTTCAATGCATGCAGCTTTCAGAAAGCTGAAGAAGACTGCAATAGGGCAATATCACTGGATGAAAAGGTGACAGGACAAATTTCTGCAATGATCTTTATATTTGATTGAATTCTTGTAGCAATTTATCTTGGCAGGACAAACGAGATCTTATGGTGCTCCTTGTGTATCTTAGGCTAAATCTTAAATTTTGTTTGTTTTGTTGGCCAAGAGTCCAAGGTAATCATTGAAGAATCTCACTGCAATGGGAAGATATGGAAATATATGGTCCACTCTTTTTTGCTTTCCCTTCCTATATCAGTAGGCTGTCTGCACTTAAGATTGATGAATACACACATCTAACTTATCTCTGGATTGGGATGGAAACGAGTCTGGTTTCATTCTTTGCCTATTTATTTCTTGATGTGTCATTTAGCATTAGCTGAAAATGGGCAATGGGTCTGTAAAATCAGTTATTTGAGAGTATATAATAGCGGTGTTGCTTGCAGCTTTCTCCTCGGGCTTTTGCTATATGCACAATCCTCAACATTTATAAACACCCGGACATCTCACCTAAGATTAGTGCACTTTCCAACGAGTAGCAGAATTTCACTTTAGCAAACCTTTGCCTATAGATTTCCCTGTTTATTTACTTTCTCCCTCAATATGTCCAGGTAAATTAGAGAAATGGGGGACTAGAAGAATAAAAGAAAATTGCACATATTTGATAATGCATCAGGTCAGTAATAAATTTATATTGGCCATCGTGATAATGGTCTAGTGTTTCATAGACATCAATTAATTGAACAGTGCCTTTTATAACCCACAACTAGCGTATATGGATTTTGGAAATCATGAATGAATGCTAATGCTTGCTGTAATATTTCTTGCAATTTTCCATGCAGTTAAGCTTTCTGAACACTTAAACTTTGATTTATGGTTGTATGCCTATTGAAACTCAAAACATGAAGATGTTTCAATGTCGACATAAAGGTTTTGTTGAATGAGATTGGTGCTTTTTATCTCAAATTGTTGGAATAGGATACTGCAAAATGCCTTGGTACGCAGAGGATCATATTGTGCTCTTGAATGGAAGTATTAAGATGTTAAACTTTTTTTTTTTTGGCAGAATGTGAAGGCATATCTGAGGCGTGGAACAGCCAGAGAATCACTCCTCTTCTACAAAGACGCAGCTCAAGGTGAGTTCTGAACACCTGATTTTTTATTGTTCAAATGAGTGTAGCATGTGAAATGAGCAGAATGTTCTCCATATTTAAGATTGTTTTTCGAACTTGACATGTAATGCTATGGATTTCTATGATGCAGGGGTTTAATTTTTTGAGAATTGATCATATGTAGATATGCATATAGATTGAGTTGTTTGAGAACTTTTACGCATGCATTCTAGAATTAATATTTGGAACATGTTGATTTTCGTGTTTTATTCCACACTATTACAAGAAGCATCGTTTCGCTTAATTCACAGATTTCAAGCATGCTCTCGTCCTTGAACCGCAGAATAAAGTAGCCAGACATGCTGAAAAGAGACTCAGAAAACTCATGAGTTGACATTTTGCTAATCACTCCCCAGCTTTACAAAATGGCATAGTACTGAAGGGGGATCAAAGGTCTATTATTCACTTTTCCAACGTCCACCTTTGTGGGCAAAAGAAATGGAGAGAAAGAAGCAACTCTGGTTTTTACTCCCACCTCTTGCAAGCTTTTTAATTGAAAATAAAAGAAAATTGTGTCCAGTTCTGTTCAACGAAATTTTGCTTTCCTTTCAAGGTACTCTTTTATTGCCCCTTTAGATGTGATGAGAAACGGTTTGTGCTGCTATAACACTCCCTTTATCCATTTTATTTTAGCTTTCTTCTGTTTTTCTTATAGAGGGTCTTCAAGACTTTGACGTTAGATTACAGGTTATCTCATTTGGATGCTGAAATGTTTATATTGCCTCCAGTTCAAAATTTCTACGACAGCTGTTGAGAGTGAAGTTTGAAGTTGGTGGGCATGATTAATGTTTGATGAAATCCCAAGTCTTGCGAAAAAGATCAGTAATTGTCTGATTCTTAAAGGTTATATATGGGGTTTATCTTAAGAATAGCTTCAATCCTTGTTTTCGAAATTTAAAGGTAATGATAAAAAATTAATACCAGAAGAAGAAGAATGAAACTTGTGTTACAACGAGTAACTTTTCCTTGAACAGGAAGAGAAGAGCGAGGTTAAAGGCTAAATTAGAATATATATATACATATACATATATGTATATGTGTGTATATATATATATATATATGTATGTATTGATAACTCAGGGTGTCTAGGCAGTCATGCATATCATAACTAATTTATAGATTTATTAAAAATTCTATAAATTTAATAAATAAATAAAATATCATGAAAGTGATATGTATGAAAGTGATATGTATGTATATAGAAAGTTGAATTCAAGTACTAGAGAAAGCAGTTATGTATATTATAATTAATTTTTAGATTTATTAAATACCCTACAAATTTAATAAATAAATAAAATATTGTGGAAGTGATATGTATGTAAATAAAAAGTTGAATTTAAGTACTAGAGAAAGAAAACAAGTCTTTTTTTATAATTGCTAGATTATGATTTTTAGTGCTATATTTTTTTTATTAAAATTGTTTTTTTTGTTAGAACCGTCTTTCACTTTTATTTTAGCTAACAGCTAATCGATGAGCCTGCAAATATTTAAGAAGAAATTCCAGCTCCATAATCTCCATTATTGATGAAATACTTTTTTCAACATTCTCATGCTTCTTAATAGACATTGATGGAAAATATGTTGATGTGTATAATATATTTTGAGATTGCTGGGAAAATTTAATTAATTAAAAATTCACAAAAAAAACCTGCACTAAACAGCCACTACGCAAGAGGTGAAATAAGTGCAGCCAAACAAGCAAAAGCAAAGACGAGAGTGAAAGAAATTGCAGATACGCAAAACAGTGAAACCAACGTACTGCATAATAAAATCAAGAAAAATAATTAATTATTAATATATTCCGGTTAAATTGAGTTGTTTGGATTTGTATTCCAGTGAAAAGAATAATTGGTAAAATAATACAATAAAAAATATTTTAAAAATAATATAATTTAATAAATCACAAATGACATCTACAATTTGATTGTAATTCCAGCATAAAAAAATCAAAATTGAACATAATATATAATTTAGCGAGATATGAATTGAAAATTAATTGTACGGTGACCTCACCGTAAAGCGATCAATTTTTTCTTTTAGGTTTATAGCACAATGGAGAGAATTAAGGCCAGCAAATTAATTGGTGTATGGTTTTCATTGTATGGATGTCCCGTGCTGCGTTGTGGGTCAGCTAATTTTTTTTCAATGTTCAAAAAAATCCTTAGATAATAATATTATGAGATAATCCAAATTAAATTTATTAAAATGTTATTTAAGAATATAAAACTTAAATAACTTCCAAAATAAAATAAAATAAAATAAAATATAAAGTTTATAGTGTAATAACCTAATATCAAAGATTAAAACAAAAAAAAATATTCAAAACATATAAAGCTGAAAAATAAATCAAGTAAACTTGGGCTAACTTGATGAATCCACTACTTGTGACATGACATCGAGATATATAAAAAAATTCAAAAGGACCTAGCACAAAAAACAAAAGTTCAATAAAAATTGTTAAAAAAATTCAAGGTAACTTGGGTTAATTTTATTAAACCACTCTCAGAATAACTAAACAAAAATAAGTGAAAAAAATGAGAGCTTGATGACATAATTTAATGCAAATGATGAATCGAAAAAAATCACAAAAAATTAAGGAAAAAAAATCCAAGTCAACTTGGATTAAATCGATTAACCCACCACTCACAACATGAGATCAAAAAAAAAAAAACTTTCAAAAGAAGAACCTCACAGAAAATACCAAAGTTAAATAAAAAACCATTGAGAAAAAAATATAAGTTAACTCGAGTTAACTTGACCAGTCCATCCTCAAAATAACAAAATAGAAAGAAAAGCAAAACAATGATAAAGTTCAAGGGAAATAATTTAATGCAAAATTGTGAAAGTAAAAAAAAATAAAAGCCATAAAAAACTAAGAAAAAAATAGAGTCAATCTTGGTTTACTTAGCCAATTTGCCATCACATAATGATATTAGGATTAAAAAAAAAATTAGACTTTCAAAAAAAGAACATAACAAAAAAAACTAAAGTTAAATAAAAAAAATATTGAATAAGAAAATACAAGTTTAACCTGTATTTGAGATAACTAAATAGAAAAAAAAATAAACAAATTACATAGCTCAAGACCCAATAATTTAATATCAAATGATGAAATTGTAAAGAAAAATATACAGAGAAAAAAATTAAAGTCAACCCTGGTTAATCTAATTAATTTATTATTTAGGATATAAGATTATGATAAATTAACAAAAAAAAAGTGGAACAAACAATGAAGCTAAGGGCTTAACAACTAAACGTGAAATGATAAGTTAGAAAAAACTAATTAATTTTCAATAAAAGATTGCGTGGTCCAAAAGAAACCATAAAAAAATAAAAATCAAACAGTAAAACAATTAAAAAAATCAAATAATACAACCCAAATATAATATAAAAATAAAATGAAAAAAAATAATTAGTGGTTGTATTGAAAAAAAACTAATAAAATGATAAAAAAATAATTTAAAGAATGAAAACCAAAACTAGAGAAAAAATCAAATGATGTTAAATGTTAAGAGACAAAATTAAAAAAAAAGAGAAGATAAATCAAGCAAATGATAAGAATATAATAATAAAAAAAAACAAAAAATGAATTAAAAAAATAATAATCAAGAAAGTTATAAAAATATAGAAATAAAGTAATTAAAAATAGAGAGATGAAATCAGATAAAAAAATAAAATTAAATAAAATACCCCAAGATAAAATCAAAAGAAAGCTAAATATTAAAAAACATCAAAAGCCAAATAAATAGTAATAAAAAGAAAGAGGGTTAAAAATAGATAAAAAAGAAATCAAAGGACACAATTGTTTTTTGAAATTTAAAAGGTAGGCGTTAATTTCAAAGGCACGAGAGGAAAAAAAAGAAAAGAAAAGAAAGAAGAAAAACTTTACCATCACCTAACTAGAACTTCTCCGTGAGCATGTACCATCCAATACCATGTGAAAGCATGATTCTGGTAACTAGACGGGCCCTCAGGCACAACGTGAACAACATAAGAGCTTACCATGGTCGTTAACAGCTTTTTTTTTTAAATAATATTTAATAATTAAAAATTACCAAATATCCCTTAACAAACCTTGAAATTAACCTTTTTTTTTGGGATTCTCACTATTTAAAAAATAAAAAAATAAAAAAATCATCTAAGCATGTGCATTTTTTTTTCTCTTCAAGGGGCATGATTAGTAATTTACTGTAGGTTTTTTTTTTTTTTAGAAAAGATCAAAAAGCCCCTCACCAAAAACTCAACTTTTCTTTTCTTTTAAAAAAAATAATTATTTTATTGTTTTTAAAAAGATGTCCTCCAATATATTCCCAACTATAAAACTAATAATATATCACAGTAAATCACCGAAACGTTTCAGATTTTTCTGTAATAGCTTAAAAAATTGATATACTAGCAAGCTGTCCGTACACAGAAACCAAGCCTACCAAACCCTAAAAAGGAATAGAGCACGTCCTAGGTGCGAGCTGATACTCTGGAATCAAAGGTACCAATTGCAACTCTCGATTTGTATTTATCATTTATTATTTCTAAAATTGCACTGTTTTTATAAATATTTTCTCTACTCTATTATTTTACCAATTATTTTTTCTCACTGTTCTCAGAAAGAAATCCAGGTAAACTAGCTAGGCGTAGCCATTTGTTTTCCTCGGCTTGATTTGGCCTCATGCATGTCCACGTTGCACTTCATGCATGTCCACGTTGCTCTTCATGCGGGTTCCATAACCCATGTCAGACACCTGTTTTTACACTTCGTGATTCTTCGGACGAGTAGCAAAGCGATGAGATGTGTTTGTTTGCGTATTTTAAATGTAATTTTTTTTAAAAATCATTTTTTATTTTAAATTAATATGTTTTTGTTATTTTTATATTTTTTAATATGTTAGAATAAAAAATAATTTTTTAAAAATAAAAAAATAATTTTAATATATATATTTATATAAAAAACACTTTAAAAAATAACCAACAGCCACAACTATACTCCCGGTAATATACCATATCAAACTGCCCACCTGTCCAAATTATAGATTACAAAAAAAAAGAGGTTAAAACAGCTTACATTGGTCATGCAAAAAAAATAAGGTCAAAGTGTGAGATCACAGCGAAGTTACGTTCCTTGTGCATGGCATTCTTCCCACGAGGCCTTTTGGGCTGAACTTCCCTGGAGCACACTTACCAATTCTTGAACGAATATTATTTTAGATATATATTAGTGTTTATATCAACATACATATTAATATTTTACTAATACACATCTATTTACATACTTTATTATGCAATAAAAGTCCCAGATATTTATTTAAATAAAATACTCAATATAAAAATAAAATAATTTCACACACTCAAAATCACCTTATCTTTTTATTTTTCAACATCTCACATATTTAATTTTTTTATTGGTAATAGATTGTTTGTAACCTTGTGAATCGAATTCAATTACAATGTTAAATTAATTTTTAATTTTAATTATAAATTCTTTTAATGATATTGATTTGAATTTTAAAGGGAAATCAATTTATAAAAAAGATACAAAAGTAAATCAAAATAGAGACCATGTAATCTCTCTTAAAATTAATATTGAAAATAATATTTTAAGAATATCCAAAATTAACACAAACTTTATTTTTGCTTAAAAACTTTTGGCAAAACAAAATCCTTTCTTTCTTTTCTTTCCTTTTATTTTTTTGGTTTTTGCCTGAATGTTTTTGTATGTTGATCTATATAACCTCTTAAAAAATGCAGATTTAATCGGTATTAAAATGCCAAAACTCAAAATCCTGATAATGAAATTAAGATATCCTTATAGAAGACAAATCAAAATAAATTATAAAACTCAATTATTAACCAATTCAATGTTGAATGATAAAATTTAAAAAAATTAAAAAAGAAAACAAAAAATAACATAAGTCAACTAGGGTTAAATGGTTAACTACTATTCTCAGGTGATGAGATAAGCACAATCTAATAAAAAGTAAACAAAACAAATTATAAAGTTTGATCTCCTATCAATACAATATTGAAGGATGTAATTAGAAAAAAAATTAATTGAAAAAAAATAAAAAGAACACAGGAGTCAACTAAGTTAACTTGCCAAACCCGTAATTTGTGTTACGAGAATAAAATAACCCAATAAAAAATAAATATAATATTAAAGAATATTTTTTTTTTAAAAAAGCATTAATAGAAAAAAAAATCAAAGAAAAAAAAGCTAATTTGTGAAGATGGATACAATAAAAACCCTTCTTTTTTTAGTTTTTTGTTAACTAGTTTTCTACTTTAAAGGTTTTGTTGCAAAATTAAATTTCAACGATCATAAAAGGAAGGAATGAACGTTTGAATTAGAAATCATTTTTTTTGGACAATTAACGATGTAAAATATTGTTTTTTTAGAGTCTTGAATATATATGAGTGATTATTGTTAAATAAATAAATAAAAAGAAAGGAAAGAAAATGGGTACAAAAGGAGATGGTCAATCCCAAGAAGACGCCCGACCTCAATCACCAAAAGGAGATGGTCAATTAAATAATTTGTTTAGTAATATAGTATATAATATTTTTTATTTTTTTATATTAACATATTAAAATCATTGAAAAATATAAAAAAATAATTTAATATTTTTTTAAATGAAAAACAATTTAAAAACCAGAAGATATCATAATATCAAACAACATATGTTTGTTATAATCTCCGATTGTTTGTTTCTTATTTTATGGTAAGAAATCCCTCCTAAGTTTTTTTTTTTTTTAGCACTTAGATCCTCTCTTTAATTAGGTATTTCTTTAGAATTGTCGTCATGCTGGTTAAATTGAAATCTTTGAATTCAGATGAATGGATGTCATTTATAAGTTTATGATAATAATAATAATAATAATAATAATAATAATAATAATAATAATAATAATAATCCACATGATGCGTTATGTTGCCAAATTAAGACAAACATAGTGAAAAGAAAATCAAAACAACTTTACCTTATATGTATACATATTTTCCGTTTTCCAGAAAAACAGTGAGAAATCCCACAGCACATGAGCCTATATACTTTTCTCTGCAATCCCTGATCAAGTGCTTTTGTGTTAACCATGATTTCCGGAAAGGACATTTACCAGGTTGTTTCGGCATTGGTTCCTCTCTATGTTGCAATGATATTAGCCTATGGTTCAGTGAGATGGTGGAAAGTTTTTACACCAGATCAGTGCGCGGGCATCAATCGTTTTGTTGCAGTTTTTGCAACTCCTTTTCTCGTTTTTGATTTTATATGTTCTAACAACCCTTATAAAATGAACTTACGCTTCATCGCTGCTGATTCTCTCCAAAAAGTGGCGGTTCTGGTGGTTCTCTTCATTTGGCAAGCCACCACCAGACGTGGTGAGCTTGACTGGACAATCACTCTTTTTTCTCTATCTACTCTTCCCAACACTCTTGTCATGGGCGTCCCTCTTTTGAAATCCATGTATGGAGAATTCTCATCGCCTCTTATGATTCAAGTTTGTTTCATGCAGAGCGTACTTTGGTACACTCTGCTGCTGTCCATGTTTGAATACAGAGGTGCAAAGAGACTCGTTGCCGGGCAGTTTCCTGAAACAGCTGCCTCTATTTCCTCTTTCAAGGTTGATTCGGCTGTTGTTTCTCTCGGTGGTCACGAACCACTAGAGACGGATGCTGAGATTGATGATGATGGCAAGCTCCGAGTGGTGGTAAGAAGATCAAGTGCAACTTCCTCAAATTTCTCATCGCGCGACAGGTTCGACGGATGGAACCCGGACCTAAGTGTTCATCTTCCACCAAGGGCTTCAAACTTCTCCAGCGTAGAGGTTTTCTCCGTACAATCCTCACCAAGGGCTTCAAGTTACAGGCAGACAGATCTTTCTAACTTAACTAATAGTTTTGGAGACATTTACTCATTACAATCTTCAAGGAATTCTGTTCCAAGGATTTCTTCAAATCTTGAGGAGGAAATGGGAAGGAAAAATGGAGTTGCTTTTCCAGGTTCTCCAAGCTGTGTAGTACCACAAAAGCAAGGTGGTGGGGCACCAGCACCTAACAAAGACCTTCACATGGTTGTTTGGAGTTCAAGTATTTCCTCTAATATTTCTGATCATAGATATCTGAAAGCTGATCAAATAAATGGCAGTCACACCTTCCCTGATCCCTTCAATGGAGCAGCTCCTCAACAGGACAACATTGCTGCTGCTGCTTCAACAGGTACCATACTGCTACTTGCATACATACATCAAGAATGAATCATATAATTACTACTAGCCGTTAATTAGGATTATACGTCATAATCCCTGGCTGGCTAGATCATTTTTCTGTTTCCATTCAGCGAAGAAACAACAGATGCCTCCAGCGACTGTCTTGGCTCGACTCATCGCTATGATGGTGGGGAGGAAGCTCGTTAGAAACCCTAATACTTACGCAAGCTTGCTGGGCTTGCTGTGGTCTTTGATATCATTTAGGTATCTGGAAGCTTTTGCTGTTGCTGCTTTAGCTTGAGCACACACACACACACACACACACACACACCATGGATACTGATCATGAAACAAAAACACATACAGGTGGAGCATCAAGTTGCCATTGATCGTGGATGGATCTGTAAAAATATTATCCAATGCTGGTTTGGGAATGGCTATGTTCAGTCTAGGTACGTTATACGTTATTAATTAATTAGTTATCTTTAATCAACAACTTTTATTTTAATTAATAAAACTATAGTATTTTTATTATAATAATATTAATTGAACGATTAATCAATTACTAGTTATTTGAAATAATGTGCAGGTTTATTTGCAGCGTTACAGCCCAAGGTCATAGCTTCTGGAAAGGTTTTAGCGTTGATTTCTATGGCTATTAAATTCTTGACAGGACCAGCCGTAATGGCCGCAGCATCTCTTGCTTTTGGTCTTCGCGGTGATCTTCTACGTGTAGCCATTGTTCAGGTAACAAACCACTATCAGGTGGTCCTCGTATTCGTGCTCTAACACTGTAGTTTTTTTTAAAATATAAAATTCGAGAATGAAAGGCTAAATGGTTGTTAATTCATAGTATAAATTATAATAAAAATGTATACAAGCATCATCAAGCTTATTTAGTTTTATGTTTTAAAAATATTTTTAAAAAATTTAAATTTAAATTAATATGTTTTTAGTATTTTTAATTCATTTTAATATGTTGATATCAAAAATATTTTTTTTTTAAAACATTTATTGACATGTATTTTAATACAAAAAATTATTTAAAAAACAATAAAAAATATCTTCCAACACAACCCTTAAAAATACTAAATTATTCATTAATTAAACTCCTGAATGAACCATAATTGACTGCTAATTTCGTCATTTAACCCATCACTGTGTAGTCGTTAATATCTATACATAAGATGCTAATATATATATAGACTCTTGGATAAGCTATAATTTGCTAGTCAATTCGTCACTAGATCTTAATCCGTCACTGAATCTAGTATGTAGCTGGTAATATCAAAATAAACTACAATTAGCTAGTCAACCCGTCACTAAATCTACAAGTATGTAGTTGTTAATATATATTGACATGATGCTAAAATACTCTTATATATGTTATATTATACTTGGAAATTGTAGTTATGTTCTCTCTGTGGATAAATGCCTAGTTTATTTCTCAGTATTTATAAAAAAGGCTTGACTTACTTAGATTAATTCAATGACCTGTTGGCAGGCTGCCCTTCCATCAGGCATTCTTCCTTTCATATTTGCCAAGGAGTACAATCTCCACGCCAATATACAAAGCACTTCGTAAGTTTTTCATACTCTATTGTTATTTATGCACAGTATTGTATGTGTGTGATGTCGTGGCGATCATCTATCATTTATAAAATAATAAAATGTGGTGCATTTCTAGCAAGATATGAAAAGACAAGAAATTCTTGTTTTTTGTCAGTAAAATATAGACTAGGAGTCGCCACCTAGTATTCTGATCACTAGGAACCCTAACTGGTTTCAGAGATCGGGTATGGAGACTGGTTGCGTAAAGAGAAGGTATTAGTACTCCAAATACGCTCTACTTAAGGTAGGCTACATTGTTTTTTCTAATAAAATAAGAAATCATGTTGTGGTGCCTAATTATATATCTATCTAAGGTTTAAGAAAAAGTCCTCTTTTGTAAGGAGATCTTTATCTTATCAGGTAAAACCCTAGTTGTTCTATGTCGTTAAATAAAAAATACTTTTTTTTTATTAATATCAGGAATACGTGTTACGTATAGCCTCATAATCCCTGATACTAAAACAAAACAAAATAATTTTTTTTTTGTTGTTTTTGAAATTTTGGCCAATGTTCTCTTGACTTTAATAAACTGGTTATTAAAGCCAAAAATACATGCTAAAATATTGTTTTTAATGTAGGAAAAATACAATATGATTTTTTTTTAGCTTTGAGACACTTGGTCGTATGCACAAAGACATTTTTTTTGTAAGTTTCAACAAAAACCGGATCTTTTTCATACCAGCTTTGTATTTTTTTATGGCATAAAATACAGATCGATACTAAGACAAAAAGTATAAAAAAAAAGAGGAGAAATTAAAAAAATATATAAAAAAATTAATTTTTTAATTTTTTTTTGAAATGAACTGGACCCGGCCCAAAACCAAATGGGCCGGTTACTATGCAAAACATGAATTAATTCATGTTCTGCATGCAAATGCAGACGGTGACTAAGCAAAGGAGAAAGAGACAGGGCAACCGGAGGTTACCTGGGGTTGGCGTCGAGGTGGTGCTGCTGGCGGCAGAGACACGGTGGTCGATGTTTTGCTGTGTTTTTCTTCTCTCTCTCTCCTCTGTTTTTCACACTTTTCTACTTCTTCTTCTCTTTTTTTTTGCTCTCTCTCTTCTCTTCTCTCGTTCGGTCTGTCTCTCGGGTTTGGTCTCCTTCTCTCCTTCTTTTTTTACCTCTTTTTTTTTGTTGCTGCCTCCCTTATTTTTATAGGCAAAAATAGGGGAGGGGATGTGGCTAGGGTGGCCACTGTGTTGCTGCCCCTCCACCATTCTTCCAGCACGTGGAAAGTGGGTTGTGTCGGCGTCTTTTTGAAGGTGAAATGTCGGTAAAAAAATTGGTGAAAACAGAGGAGAAAAACACATTTTCTTCCCCTGTTCTCTGCGTGTCTAGGGGAAGAAGATGATGGTGCCGTTCAAAACGGCACCGTTTTGAGTTTTCTCGTTTTAAAAAAAAAACAGTGCATGAAATGACACCGTTTTTCCCAAAACGCGCCGTTTCATTTAAACTAGAATTGGCACCAAAACGCATCCGATTCAAAATCAAGTCTTCAATTGGCGCGCGCTTTACAAGTTGGTCCTTGGTTTCAGATTTCTTCAATTAAGTCCCTAATTGGCTATGAAACTTCAATATTTATGCAATTAAGCCCCTGATTTGACCAAATTAACTTTCAAAAATTATATGTTGACCCCAGAACTTTAATTTCTTCTAATAAAAGCCCAAATTAACTCAAAAATAAAATTTTCTTGCAATCAAAACCTCCATAAATTCAATTAAACCTTTATTAAAATTTAATTGAATCCATAAACATCTTAATTTGGACTTTTCTTCCTAAAAATTAAATTTTTTTGGTCAACAGGGCTCTCATTAGTCAACAAAATATGGCCAAATTTTAATCTTTGTAATTATAAACCTCCTCAACTAATTTTTTTTGATCATTTTCTAAGCATTCTGACATCCTCTTTTTTACTATTATTATTTTTAAATTAGTTTATTTTATTATTATTTTTTATATTTTTTATATTTTTACACGGGAATCCAAAAATAAATTACAACACACATAATCTAGCTACAAACACGACATTAGCAAGTAATAGGCCGAAATTTAGAATCATCACCACACGACTGCCTCCTCCTTCGTTAACATTTCCTTCTCAGCACCAGCTTACATGAAAAGCGTTGCATGCAAGAACATTTTCTCTTTGCAAAATATAATCAAATGATGGGCATGCACCGGGCTTGCATCTCTGATCTTTACATAAAAATTAGAAAGACAATGCTGAATGAACTCATTTTTGAATTAATTTATTTGACTAAATAATGCATAGCTACTAGCTTGGCTAAGCGATATTCTCATAGTTTAATATTCCACTAGTCATGGCAAAGATCTTAAAAATGGTAAGAGTCATGCCATCATATATCACATCAGCTAGCTAGTAAAATGCTCAAGTTCTACGTTTTTGCTTCTCTGTAGGGTCATTTTTGGAATGGTGGTTGCCTTGCCTGTTACAATAATATATTATGTGCTTTTGGACTTTTAATTTCGAAATGAAGAAAGAGGCAGACAAGAGTAAAGTGATGTAGAATTCAAGGATGGCTTGCATAGCTAGGCTGGAGTCAAGGACAAATTTGCTATGGGGTTCGGTTGTGATTTACAAATGTAGTGTATACACTCACTTGTGTTTCTCATCTACTTTCACTTGTACCGTCCATCTTCATCAAGTTTTAGCAAGCAGTAAAATAGATATTAAAATATTACTAATGTTTTTTCTAGCGGAAAAAAATCTTCATCCTGTGATAATTAATCTAATATAATCTAATTTACCTTGTAGATTTAAATGTAATCTCTACAACCTATAAAAGCATAGCTTGAATAAAATAAATTTTAAGATGATATTTTTTTTAATCTTAAAATAATTATCAATTATTTTAAGGGATGAGATTAAAAAAAGAACATAAAAAATAATCCAAGTCAATTCACCAAACCCATGACTCAAGTCATTAGACTGAGATAACCTCATAGAAAAAAAAACATGATTCAACCAGGGTTAACCTGCTAAATGTATGACTTTGGTCATGAGACTAAGATAACTCCATAAAAACCAAATCAAAACAAGTTATGTAGCTCAATTTATAATTAGCCTTGTCAGATCTAATATTAAATGATAAAATTGTTAAAAATTCTAATTAAAAAAATGAAAAAAAAAAAATAAGTCAAGCAACCTAGGTTAAGCTGTTAAGCATTATTATTACATCATGAGATCGAGATAACCTAGTAAAAAATAAACCTAAATAAATCATAAAGCCTAATTTTCAATCAAACATAATACTAGCTAATGACAATGAGAAAAAAAAAGTCAATTAAAAAAATAAAAATAATATTTGAATCAATTAGGTTAACTCACCAAACTTACGACTCGAGTCATGAGATGAGAACAATCTAATAAAAAGAAAATTCAATATTGAAGGACCTATAAAAATAAAATTCAATGTTGAAGGACATGTAACTTATATCATGAGATCGAGATAACCTCTTAGAAATAAACATAAAAAAATGACCTAATTTAACTATAGTTAAATTGTCAAAACCTGAGATCTTGATCGTGAGATCAAGATACCCCCATAATAAATAAATAAATAAAAATATTATGAAGCTAAATTCCTAATCGATTCACTTTTAAATGATGAAATTAAAAAAAAAATCAATTAAAAAAATAATACAAAAAACAACTCGAGTCAACTCAAGTTTACTTGTTAAACATGATTCCCTAGTCATGAGGCTAAAATTAAATAATAAAAAGTAAACAAAAAAAAATCATGAAGTCTAATTCTCAATCAATCCAATATTAAATGATAAAACTAAAAAAAAAGTTAATTAAGAAAAAGAAAAACAAACTTGAGACAACTAGGTTTATCTATTAATATTCATTAACCTGTTAAACTTGCTATCCATGTTATGAGAGTATTATAACTTAATAAAAAATATATAATATTAAAGGATGAAATATTTTAAAAAATATTGATTGAAAAATAATCAAAAGAAAAACAGAAAAAGAAAAAAAAAGCAAATCATTATTAAGTTGAATAATTATTTATAAGGAGGGGTATAATAAAACCCTTTCCTCTTTTAGTTTATCGTTAATAACCCAATATTAAATGATGAATTTGGAAAAAAAAGAGTTAATTAAGTGAAAAAGATTTGAGCCAACTAGATTAACCTATTAAATAGAGTTAACCCATTAAACTCATGATCTATGTCATGAAAGTATGATAACTCAATAAAAAAATTTAATATCAAATGATAAAATTAAAAAAAAAAGAATTGATAGAAAAAAAATCAAAGAAAAAAAGACAAAGAACTATTCAAATGAATAATTCTTTGTGTGGTGGGGTACAATAAAACCCTCTTCTGTTTTAATTTATAGCCAATTATTTGACTTACACTTTCCTGCGGGTCAAATATTTTTTCTTTCTTAAAAAGAATATATATGAAGACTTTAATAACGTGCTATTGTGAATAAAAAACCCCAAGAGAAATTAAAAAATTTCATGCATACATCTAATTAAATAAATTAAGAACTATTTGTGCAACAAAAAAAATCAAGTCGAAAGCTTACCCAGCAAAAGTTAATCAACCAAACTTGTGACACGGGTCATGAACTCAATTGGGTTGTGATTAGTACTTAAAAATATATTTTTGTCAAGGTTTTATATCATTATTTGGGACTTGAAGTATTAATAACTCCTTAACTAGAGCATGTTTTATAATAACATGTCTAATAATATAAGATACATTTAATTTATGGTAAATATTCATCTTAAATGCAAGCCTATCACTTAAATCAAATGATTAATTGATGAGTTTAGCTACTAAAATTAAGAAGACAAGGAGAGGACTAACTTAGAAAAGAGATGCTGATTTAGTCCAAACTAAAACACCATTCAGTTACTTGATCATATTTGGAGCTGTAGAACTTGGATTTAGGTCTGGTTTATATGTATGGAAAATTAAGATATAGACCTAAAACTTAAGAGTTCAATATTTAAAAGTACTATTTTTTAGTTCAAATGGTAGCAACAATGGAGAACAGAATTTGTCTTGCAGCTCAAACACTATTTAGTGTTCAACCCATATTTGGAGTTCTAGAAGTCCAAATCCACCGATTCATGTTTTGTTAGAAAGCTAAGATAATGTCCTAGAACTTTTATGAAGACTATCTATTCAAATTCGAATGTTAAAAATAACATTTTGTTCAGACAAAAAGATAAGGATTATCACCAATAGAAGTCCAAATGCACCATTCATGTTTTGTTAGAAAGTTGAGATAATTTCCCAGAACTTTTATGAAGACTATCTATTCAAATTCGGATATTAAAAATGATGTTTTGTTCAGACAAAAAGATAAGGATTATCACCAATTTAAGATATAGCTACCCACTTAACAATTATTTATCAAATCAATAATTTTGAATTTTGGCCTATAAAAGGAGGTATTTGCCATGCATTTAAATATTTTGGTGTTCAGATCAAGATCACTCTCTTTCTTTGTATTTTCTAATGTTCAAGTTTTATTTTATGTTATATTAATCTCTTATTTATACTTTTTATTTCCTTTCCTTTACTTAATTAACTTATATCTTATTTATGTTTCTCTGTTTCATTATATTTAGTTAAGTTTATTATATTAAGGTGAAAATATTACACTAATGGTGTAAGAATAAATATAGTGTAAACTCAACATGAACTTTAATGTTTGATACTAATATGTTTTGTATTGTTTATCTTATTCACTCTTAATCTTTGCTTGTTAAATTGTTAATCTAGATTTATATTGTATAACCCTTGATACAATAAATGCTTGACCCTTTCATAGCCTACTGTATGGTTTAACCGATACTTGTGCTATGAGAGGAACTTGATTTGTTATTAACATAAATTAACATCATGAATACTTAACAGTATTTATAAGTATTATTTGAATAAGATAACTAATATAATCATGTTAACAATTTATAATCCGATTGAAACCTCCTTTGTGTGTGGTTTCCAATTAAGTAATAAAAAGAGTTTATACTATACTTATTTGGAATACCAATACTATTAGTGGATCTTCTAACCTTGACAATTATTTTATCCTTATTTAATCCTTTCATCAATATCCTATAAAATTCTCATAAACTCTTTGTTTGATTAAATATATATAGTATATGTAATTTATACAGTTCACCTCTTTGTGGTTCGATCCTGGTCTTGTCGGGTTATTTATTACTTCAACACTCCTACACTTAGGATAAGATATCAATATTTTGATTGTATCAAGTTGAATAATTTTATTATATATATATATATATATAAAATATATACCTATACAATTAAGAACCACTAAAATATTAAAGTGACTGGAAAAAAAATCAAGCCAAAATAAATTACAATTCCCAATTAAAAATAAAAAAATTAGGTGATGAAATTTAGAAAGGAAAAAAGCAAGAAAAAAAATGCAATTGTAATGGGTAAAAATGAAGAAAAAAAACCAGAGAGTAAAAAAGGCTTAGTATCTCGGGTTAGAAAGGCCCAAACACGCAGTCCTAGAGTAACCCACATGTCCATGCCTTATTGTTTTCATTTTTTTAAGGTGTCGTCCACCACTTTAGGTGTGTTTTTTTTTTAGGTAACTTTTATGGTTGTTGTTTGAAAAAAGTAAGTTTAGAAAAAATATTTTTAGTTGCAGTTAGTTGGATTTAGATACATGTTTGGTAAAAACTATGGTTGAAGTTTATATGTAGCAAACAACATGTATAAAAAAGAGACCGGTAAGAAATATTTATAAAACTCAATTAAAAAAGCATGTAAAAATTGTTGCATAAAACACTACCAAAAATTTACAAAAAACCAATGGAATTATCGATAGAATAATTCTATTGGTAAATTACAATGATAATTACCAACAACCACTATTCTATCTGTAATTCAGATGATTATATCGATATAATGATTCCATCTGTATATATCAACTAAATTACAGGCAGAATATATGGAATTTTTTTTAAAAAAAGCAGTTCGATGACATGGAAGTTTTTACGAATGATTTTACTGATGAACTTACCAAAGGATTTAAAATGAGATCTCCATACAATAATGTGATCAATTCACCATTAGAATTACCAATGAAATCTCTGACAAAAGGAGTTTGTTAGTGATACTATTAGTAAAAGTTAATATATAACCACTCTGCCAACCCTTTCCTTCCCTATTTCTCCTTCTTCTTCCCTATCCCAACTTTCTCCTCTCAAACTGCAAACAACCCCCCTTAAAATTATCCCGCTCTTCTCAACATAAGTTATATTTCTTTAAGTTTTGAGATTACAACATCCATGTTCTAATTTATTATGGATTTTATTATTTTTTGTAAGTAAATCTATCTTTTTTAATTTTAACATTTAAATGTCAATTTTATTATTTTTTATTGTTATTTTTAGTATATATATTTTGTTAGATACGTACATGTTATATTGTTATTTCTCAAACAAACTTGTTGTATGA